TTCATATTATTTGGCCAAACTATTTTCAAATCAAGAAAGTTTATCATTACTCTTCACAATTCATCCTTTCATACTTCATCCCTAAGGTTAGAAATAATCGTTATTTCTCCTTAAAATAAATTTAGATTTTTCGTTCAAAAGAAACACATGCGGGATAATTTTCAAATGTCGTTTTACAATCATAAGCCGCATTATAATGTATTTTAAATCAAGAAAAGCTAATCATATACACGTTTCGGGCTGTTGGCCTTCGTCAGCGTGATGCAGGCTGTACCTCAACGACCAAAATTTGATACAAGAGGCTATCTGAGAAATCAAGAAACGGGTATTTAAGGCAAAATTATAATACCTACGATAACCATGTTAAAAAGTAGAAGAAAATAGAAAAGGTGTTGCTATTAAAAACAAAAAAGGCATATCATAACCGCTTAATTTTAATTATAAAATTATATATGTGAATCTGTGACAGTATTTTATACACGAATGATTATCATGTCCATATTTCATTTAAAATACCATTTCTAAGAGGTCAGCTTCAGTATAAAAGGAAAACAGAAAAATTCAATATTACAGAGGTACGGTAGATTAAACTGGAGAAACCGCTGGGAGAGTTCACCACTGATAAACAAGGATCTCTCAATATTTTATAATCGCAATAAAGATAGAATAAAATAGTTTTAATATAAAATAAATGGTGCTAGCTATAGTTTCAATCTTCATTACTGTGATCTTTATTAGTTAGGCGATGTTCTATCAGAGACAATTTTGTTCACACTTGGTTATCTCGTGTGTCTCTTCAATAAAGATCACTGTGTATCAAATAACTCTTAAAGTGTATATAAAAAATGTATTTATTATTAAGTTGTTAAAGTAATAATCCTGTTGAAGGACTGACAAGTCCGAAAACTTGAAAATAAAAAGTTGTACAAGAAACTTAACCCTGGAAGCTTAATTTATTTTATAATGATCTTAAAGTTATTGTTTAAATCCCGATATACATGCTAAAAGGTACAACTTCCTTAAGTTTTGTCTGTGAATGTAGAACACAATAACTGGAACAGCCATTTACCAAAATGAGAAAAATAAGCATATTTAACGGTAAATCATATTAACCTGGAGAAACCGCTAGGAGAGTTCACCACTGATAAGCAAGGATCTCCCAATATTTTATCATCACAATAAAGACATCATAAAGATAGAGGCTGCCTGGCCGACATTCATATTTCTTCAAATAAAGACACTTCGGCCAGTAAATCCTTTTATTATCTCTATACGGTGATTAAAATATAAAGAATGTTTTGCCCTTGCATACTTGATCATAGTCTTCTCTAGTTGTCATTTTGAATACCTCGGGACAAATTTTGGTCTTAATTACCGTAAAGATAGAGGCTGCCTGGCCGACATTCATAATTCTTCAAATAAAAGATACTTCGGCCTGTAAATCTTTTATAGAGACAATAAAAAGATTTACTGGCCGAAGTGCATTTTATTTGAAGCAATAAATATAGTATAAAATAGTTTTAATATATATAAAAAATGGTACTAGCTATTGTTTATATCTTCATTACTGTGATCTTTATTAATTAGGCGATGTTCTCTCGACCAGAAGAAAGAAAGAAAGAGGTAGACCAACCAGAAGGTTGCAATAAGACTGCGGCGGTGGTAAGGAAAGCCCAACGTTTTACTTAATGGAGTTAGGGTGTCGTTAAGCCTAACCACGAGCTGACGTGACCTCGATGTAAACCTTTGTTGCCCTCTGTGAGATAGGGATTCTCTTTTCTCATTCTCTTCTAGTAATTCTTTTACCAGAAATTCACTATCATTTATATTATGATGCATCAGCGCGCCTTCTGTTATGAATATTCAAAACTATTATAGACGCGTATGATTTTTTTGAAAATTAAACAATTTCTACTGCCCTTACTGCAATGGAAAAATTTAAGGATGATAGAAGCGGCTACAAATGGCATCTGTTCCACATGTCAGAGGCGGCCATTTCTTTTGGAGCTAAGTCGGCCTGCCACTGAGTAGTGCTCCCAGTCTTAATGACAAAGGCAGACGCATTCTACTTCACTCAGTCATGATGGTTGTCAACAGACACCATCAAAAGTCTCAAGCTTTACAAGCTTGACACCCTAATATGATTGGGTGGAGATAAGAAAGAAGAAGAAGGGAAGGCCTGGCTCATCAGAGGTGAACCTACCAGCGGTTTCGCCACTGATGAGCCAGGCCCTCCCTTTAATTTTTCCATTGCAGTAAGGGCAGTAGAAATTGTTAATTTCAAAAAAAAAAAAATAATAATAAATCATACGCGTCTATAATAGTTTCGAACTATCGTTTATAAAATTGAATAACTTCAAAATCCACACAAAGCAATAACGATCCATCTATATATAACAAATGAAGACATTAAGACGCGCGAATGTTTCTTTTCACAAATAAATCAAACTTCTACTGTCCTTACTACGATGGAAAAATATTGGAAGGGCTTACCTCATCAGTGGTGAACTTTCTACTAAAGAGCTCTTTAGAGCTCCAATACTGTATTGGATCATTATGCTTTTATAAAATTCATCGTTAAAAAATAGAATAACTAATACTTTTCAAATTTCTTAAAAATAATATATATTATATATATTTTCTAGGCGAGGCATACCTGGATGCCTGCAGACATGCTTCGTGGACCAATTAAAAGAACTCACTGGCTAAAAGGTCGCCGAGATGGTACATTGAGCTCAAGACAGAGATGACTGACGTCGTGTTTGGGATGTAATAGTTACAGTACAACGTTCAATCGCGAATAATATGATTGTATGATATGTCATTCAAAAGACTGGGGTATAATGGGAAACAGAGCGAGAAACATGGAGAGGGCATCATCCAACATGGAGAACCACTTCCCTTCTAGCCGTCAGCTGGGATTTTTCCTTCTTGACTGGTACCTATTTGGTACTGATTTGGTGCTAATAAGTGTTCATAATTCAATAAAATAATTTCTTGTATTAATCAGTAATATCATTTTATTCGCGATCGAACGTTGTGGCCCACTATTACATCCCAAACACGATGCAACGCCAGCCCAGTCTTGAGCCCAGATGTACCATCACCGTTAAACCAGTGGGTTTCTTTAATTTGTCCACGAAGCGGCGGGTATCCAGGTATGTGTCGCCCAGATGTCTTTCCGGTCAGTATGGTGTACTCCATCCCCCTGCGTCGTGCGATGTGACCGAAGAATCTCAAACAATTCCGTTGTACAGAAGTCGGTCATCTTCTGAAATCGATAGTTGTGATAGTATTGATGCATTCGACCGACGCGCTGCCCAAGGTATAGGAAGCATTCCTCACCAGCAATACATCTCGAACGCATCAATATTAATGTGAAAACAAGAAGCTTCTATGAAAAAGTGCTCCTTTTAGAACAATTTAATTCAAATCTCAAGCTTTTGGAGCCATGAAAGTTAGAAATTCGAATTAAAAATCGTAAAAGAAACGTATCCGTGGAAGCATCTGATGTTTTCAACATATATGTGTGATAGAAACCCGTTTTGGTAACTTGCACGTACAAGTAGGGTTAGATAGACTTTTGTAAGAATCGGGAGTCATTGAAGCAATATTTCTTCAGAAAAAAAGGTGCCCAATTTGGGATTGGATCCTGGGTCGTAGCTAATATCTACGTTTTATATTACTTGTTCACTAACTTCCAAAGCCACAGTGAATTCTATGAATGGAATATCTCTGAAAGAAGTCATTAAAGTTTCCCACTACTAACACCAGCAATGACCGACTTATCCAAGATCGATAACAATTCCCCATATCCCAATAACATAGTCTCTCCACCAGTCTTCATTAAATTTAATAGAAAACTGCTGAGAACAACCGTTGTAAACTTTTTTCCAAAATGGCCTCGGGTATAACGGAATATCAGAATTTATTTACAATTCAAATTGATATTTTCCTATTTGTTTCTTCGATGGGGAAACTTTCTATCCAAACTGATGGTGCTTGTTAGCTTGCCTTATTACCACTTCCAATTATACAACGGCTAGAGGAAAAATAAGTTTTACCTAAATAATTCTGAAAATGTTTAGTGCAAAGCTGTGTGTTTATCAAAAATATTAGATTTATTATTAAATATGTCTAATAAATAAGTGTGATGAGAGGGTAATTAGCATTTTCGAGTTTTTGCCTGAGGGAAGACTATTTCAGTCGCTGAATTAAAAAGGTGCCTTATGAAAACCTCTAAAACCTTTCGAAGTTTTTTTTTTTCTGAGACCGATATTTATGCAAATAGAGCTAAATTCCATAAGGAATGGATCAAGAATTTTTAATAGAGAGATTTTAGTCACAAATAGATTCACACACACAACATATTCTAAAGAGTTTTCGTCGTAGATAATTCATTAGACAATTTTTATAGTTTCGATGAAGAATTTTTGTCAGAAATAATTTCTTTATAAAATATTTTTCATGAAGAATTTCGGTGAGGAGACTTTCGCCATATATAGTTTCGTTATAGTTTTCGGTATAAATAGTTTTTCGTCATAAAGAGAAACACATGGGGGATAATTTTCAAATGTCGTTTTAAAATCACAAGCCGCATTATATTATATTATAAAATACTTTATGTATTATTTACAAACGGAAAAATATATCCAGGGTAGCCTAGTGGACATGGCATCTGCCCGGTAAGCGGAACACTGTGGGTTCGATTCCCATCCCTGGACACTTTATTTTTCCGTTTATCATTACTCTTCACAATTCATCCTTTCATACTTCATCCCTAAGGTTAGAAATAATCGTTATTTCTCCTTAAGATAAATTTTGATTTTTCGTTCAAAAGAAACACATGCGGGATAATTTTCAAATGTCGTTTTATAAATAGTTTCGTTATAGAGTTTTTCGCCATAAATAATTTCAGTGAGGAGAGAGATTTTCGCCATATAAATAATTTCGTTAAAGAGAATTATTCTCCATATACCTTTCATTAACGAATTTATCGTGTATATAGCTCAGATGGTAGAGCTCTCGCTTAGTAAACGAGGGGTACTGGGATCGATACCCAGCATCTCCATCTTTTTTTTTTTTTTTTTTGCTACCTGCTAACAGGTCGAAGTATTGGAATAAAAAGATGGAGATGCTGGGTTTTATTTTTTAAGAGGCAGTATTGGAAGCTTCCTTCTAAGTATTTCAATGTAGTCATAAATATTTTAGACATTTTAATCTCCAGACCAGGGGTCGGTGGAAGGATGTTCTAAACCGTTGGTTTCGACAGCTACCACCCGGGTTCGATTCTCACATTGGGCACTTTTTTCTGATTTAAAAAAATGCTCCAATGGCCCCCGTTTCTTAAAAAGTTCAACCCCACCAGCGCGTGCAAGTAACCAAATGAGGCTCTTGAACATTTGTAAGTGCAAAGGTCGATCTGCTTTTCACATGTATAGATATGTGATACACTTACAGTAAAAGCAATAGCCTATTTCTAACCCACCATGATTACCATGACCTGTACCACGTGTACTAGGGATAAGAAAAAAAAAATCTTCCTACCACTTCACTATTGTATTGAACTAAATTTTTCATATACCCTGTTATTATATACAGTAAATTGTGTTTTACACAAACTATGGACATATACTTCTGAGACTGTATAAACCAATCTAAATTAACGATACAATGAATGCATCGAGCAATGTTCTTCCGCAAAATCACAAATAAATTCATATTTATAGCTTTCATTATTTTATTTCGACTTAGACGCTATGTCCCTCTAGGGACATTTGCACTTAAAAGATAAACTAAACATTGATATAAAAGAAAGAAAGATATTTGAAATATGTACAAGAATCAGTATGCAAGTTAGTTAGATGAAAAGAGAAAAAATATCAACACAATTGAAATATAGAACGACATTTAACAAGTTTTACCGAAAATGTTTCTTTTTACAGAAATATTTGCAGTAAAACATGTTAAACGTCGTTCTATAATCATAGCCGCATTATATTGTATTATACAATTGAAATAAGTACAAAGTATTTATTAATTTTATTATTTTTATTAACAGAGTGGTCATTTTTATGTTTATATTTTGCTACTCTGTAAATTTCCCTCGTGGCTTATATTTTGTTTATCATTCTTAGTTTGTTCTTGCCTGAAATAAATTGTTGTCTTATCCCGAAGTTGGTCTTCCCTAATTTTCTACGTGGCAATATTGTATGCATTCGAGGAAAACAATTTTTATAAACATATTTATAGCCTTTATCTTGAGATGAATTGATTAATACAGCTTTTATCCTATAAAAATATGTTTATAATTGAAGTTGTTGCTGGTAATGGTGTTCTTGGGAATAAGATTGTCATCCAGATTCTGTTGGTATTGCCAAGTGGTTACTGTGTTCCCAAGAGGGAAGGAAGGAGGTTGTCCATCTGTCTTATCCACCGTCAATTAAGTTGACAGCACTCCACACATCCACTGAATCCATTGTATATTGATACTTTCTCATCAATTCGCACTCCTTATTCTCCAGACTTTATCACATTATCAACATTTAACACATATATTTGTTATGAAAATTCGAAACTATTACAGACGCGTATGATTCTTTTTAAAATAAAACAATTTCTACTGCTCTTAGTGCAATGGAAAAATTAATGGGAGAGCCTGGCTCATCAGTGGTGAACCCTTCCAGCGGTTTCGCCAGTTTAATCTACGCTTTTATATTGCATTTTTTTATCTTCCTTTTATAGTGATACTGATGCTAGATTCTTGGAATAGGTATTTTAGAAATATGGACATAAGCTTTGAAGACAGTAGAATTACATATAATTATAAATATATAATATGCTTCGAGCAATCGCTCTTCCGCAAACATCAAATTGAGTCTTTTATCGGAACAATTATATTATGATGCACTAGCGCGCCATCTGTTATGAAAATTCGAAACTATTTAAGACGAGTATGATTCTTTTTGAAATTAAAGAATCATCATAACATATATTTATAATACAATATAATGCGGCTATAATTATAGAACGACGTTTAACAAGATTTACCGCAAATGTTTCTTTTGCCTCTTCCCATCCCTGGACACTTTTATTTTCCAGTTCATCATTACTCTTCACAATTCATCCTTTCATACTTCATCCCTAAGGATAGGAATAGTTGTTATTTCTCCTTAAATAATTAAAATTACAATTTTTCGTTCTGTAAAAAGAAACATATGCGGTAAAACTTGTTGAACGTCGACATATATTTGTAACAATTTCATTTACTAGAGGGTCTGTGGAAGAATGCTCTAAACCGTTGGTTTTCGACCGCTACAACCTGTGATCGAATCCTGCATTGGGCACTTTTTTCGAATAAAAAAAAAATTACTCCAATGGCCCCCAATTCTTGCAAAAGTCCAACCCCACCAGCGAGTGCAAGTAATCAAACAGTGCTCTGGCATATTTGTAAGTGAAAAAGTCGAACTGCTTTTCACATGTATAGACATGTGGTACACTTAAAGTAAAAGCAGTCGCTAACTACCCACCATGATTATCATGGCCTGTACTGCGTGTATTAGGGATAATTAAAAAATATTAAAGCAAGTGTTTATTTTTAATCATCAAATATTATATCAACAGAACTTAATGCAATGATAAAAATTTATTGAATGAGAGGGCTTGACTTTTACTTTTATCATTGCAGTAAGGTCTGTAGAGATAATATTTGATGATATTTTATTAAAAAGAAACACATTGCCAGTAAAAATATAATTGTTACAAATTTTATCGATATATGACAATTAAATTTATAAATATGCTCTATATATATATTCACAAATGGGTATTGTAGCATACAAATATTAGGAAAGACAAATTTCAGAATGACACGGCAATTTATCTAATGACAAAAGTAAACCTTGATTTATATTACATGTTCATCCTGACTTCACAATTTAATAAAAATCAACTGGAGTCGGTAAACTGAGACTCGCGAGCTACAAGCGGCTCTTTGGATGTGAACTGCGGCTCTTTATATAGTTCCATACATAAATATTATATATATATTTTTTGCTTATCCCTAGTACACGTGGTACAGGCCATGATAATCATGGTGGGTAGTTGGCGACTGCTTTTACTGTAAGCGCACCACATGTCTACACATGTGAAAAGCAGTTCGACTTTGCACTTACAGATGTGCCAGAGCCCCGTTTGGTTACTTGCACTCGCTGGTGGGGTTGGACTTTTGCAAGAATCGGGGCCATTGGAGCATTTCTTTTTTTTTTTTTTTTTTACAAAAAAAGTGTCCAATGCGGGGATCGAACCCGGGTCGTAGTGGTCGAAAACCAAACGGTTTAACCAGCCTTCCACCGACCCCCCATGTAAATATTATTTATGCAAGTACTATTTATTGTTGGCAAGAAAAAATGTTGTGACTCTTTAAAAACTTTAAAAATGTAATTTTTGACTCTGCCGACTCTTCCTGGTTTAAACCGTTGGTTTTCGACCGCAACGATCCGGGTTCGAATTCCACATTAGGCACTTTTAACTAATTTTTATTTAATGCTCAAATTTTTGTAAATACAAAAATCGAACTGCTTTTCACATGTGTAGACATGTGATACACTTACAGTAAAAGCAGTCGCCAACTTCTACCCACCATGATTATCATGGCCTGTATCCACGTGTACTCTAAAGATAATAAAAAATATTAATAAAATAAAAAATCAACAAGCAATCCAGCGACAAATTTATTTAACTATTTTCATTTTTCTACCTTTCGGGCTAAGATGCCCTTCAACAGGAGAACTAGAAGTATGCCTAAACACGCTGTGGATAGTTAGCTGGGAGTTATACTTCTAGTTCTCTCCTGTTAAAGGGCATGCCCCACCAGCGAGTGCAAGTTACCAAACGGGGCTCTGGCACATTTGTAAGTGCAAAGTTAAACTGCTTTTCACATGTTTAGACATGTGGTACTGTTACAGTAAAAGCAGTCGCTAACTACCCACCATGATTATCATGGCCTGTACTACGTGTACTAGGGATAAGCAAAAAAAAAAAGAGCATGCTAAACGGAAAGCTAGAGAAATGAAAATATCAAAAGAAACTTGGTCCTTGATTGCTTTTTGATTTTATTAAAAATAAACCTTAAATAATACCAGATACAATGAGGAAAGTTTACAGAGTAGTAAAATATATATATTTATCAAAAAACTTTTCAAATAAAAATAATAAATTGTTTTCTACAGTATAATTAAAATTTAATCATGCGCACACAAAACCTTTATTAAGATATTTTGGTTTTTCCATAAGATTTCTCTTGGGAGATTGGAGAGAAACGGATTGAAATAAAAGTAGAGAAAAAAAAAGATATTTGATTACATAAAAATAAAGATATATAATTTTGTTAGTTTAAATTGTCATGATAAGAGATTTTAAAAAAGTTATAAAAGAAGAAATATATTGATGGATGTATACAAATTATTATCGCTATATTAAAATTTAATAATATATAAATAATCTTTATCGAAATATTTTGTTTCATTAAATGTTCTCTAAAAACATCTGAAGGAAATAACGGAAAGAAGTTTAAATTTACAAATACAGTAGAACCTCCATGAAAGGACACCCCGCTAACGGACATCTCTCTACAAAGGACAGTTTTCATTTGTAAAATTACCATTTTTACTATTTAGTAACTCTCCGGTAAAAGGACACTTTGGCTCTGCAATTAGGTGTTCTTTATACAGGGAGGTTCTACTGTAATACAATATGTTCCTGGAGGAAATTAATCTATAAAAATAAAAGTCACCTCTCCCTTTAAAATAGACACTAAAACTGAGCGTCATCTATTGACTGTTTCCGCAAACTAGCGGACTTGGATCGGTGACAAAGCCACAATACCAGCCGTAGATTTGGTCTAGTCTATCTACCAGCTAAACAAAACGTTGGTAGATTGTGAAGATTCCATTTGAATCCTTGTGGATCTCACAGAATAAAGTCCGCCCTGTACTGAAGAGGGCCATTAGTCCGAAACCATGGTCTCCAGATAGACACTTCTCAGTTTGCCAAAGCTTCTGTGGCTTTGTC